AATAGGCAATCCGCACTGCAAGTCGATCCTCGCAACTCGCACCCCGAGGGCTCAAGTCTAACTGAAGAGTAGGGGTGTCTAGACACCCAATCTCTTTTCCTACTCTCTTTCCCTTCCTTCCTCCTTTCTGTCGACGGCATTTACACGTATCGTGATAGTAACTGGTCGAAGGACAACGTTCAAGAGTGAACGAGAAAGCCCTCTTTGAATACACCCGGAAAGTGTAGTCACACCGCTCGTAAAATAAAAGGGTTGAAAAGCGTTGCAAGAATGTTTGGAGCAACAACTAATCTCACTAAATGTGCATATTTTTTTTCTACTTTCCACTTTTGTCCACAAAGCTTGGCCTCTACTAAAAACGCGATGTAAATGTTTCTTTAAACACAGCGATTTTAGTTGAAAGAGTATTTAAATTTTGAAAATTTTTATAAAAGATGTGTATTATACAGTCCGTATTATTTATTTTACAATAATAATAATTATTATTATTGTAGTAAATATATAAACGTATTTTTCTTTTCGTATGACTGCAAAATGTAGTGATTATTCTGTCTATTTTAAAATTAGCGAATTTTTAAAATAAAATTTGTAGCTAATTCTTAATAAAAAGACCATAAGAAGAACAATCATTTTTTCAAACTATAAAATATCGATTTTTTTCAAGAGATACATTTTGACAGAAAAATATATATCTTTTGCATTTAAAAGTACTAAAGAGCTACTAAAGTTGTTCAAGTAGCAAATATGTATAATTTTGATTTTGAAATAATGCGACAAGCACAACAATCGCATATACAAATATTAAAGGTGTATGATGAACCTCCAAGGTCTTAATACTATCTTAAAAATCTAATGTAAATATACAATTCGAAAAAAATTTTTTATTTGAAGTCATGCGCTCAAATTTATATTCCCCTGATATCATTCCATTAGATTTCTTCTTCTGGCTGTATATCAAGGACATATAATTCTCTTCACTAAGGTGTCAAACGTGAATACCTTATATGCAACCAAATTGCGGCTGCCATTGGCATCATAACTAACGACATGCTGCAGCGCATTTAGCATGCAGTGGAATACCGGCTCGATATCCTTCGTGCCACTAAAGGTGCTCATGCGTAGGAGTTTAGTTAGTTTAGTAACATCTAAAAGTTTAATCATTTTTTATAAGAAATTTTTTTAATTCTTTCTTACAATAAAAAAAGAAATATATATGTGTATTTGTTTCTATTTTTTTTTCCATCATTTTTATGATACCGGATTCCATTGTATCTACTCTATATTTTTCCCCGTTTAGTCGATTATTCGAACGTTCTTGATATATGCTATGAGAAAATGGTATTAGAAATTCAATATTTTACATATATAATAACTATAATAATTCAGTGGTTTTCACTGTGCGGTCTACTTTTATTATTAATTCCAGACTAGATATATAAATACTCACCGGGTCAGTACTTTTCACGAAGTATAATATCGAAGAAACGCATCGTGCATGTTTTACCCAATAAACACGATCGAATGCTTCTTTTTTTTTTTACAACACAAAACCACCTCACGCGTGCTACCATAAATGTACATCATAAAACAAACGCGGGAAATAATCATATACAGCCGATACACCCGTTCTGTTCGCAATTTAGCATTTATCTTCCGCTATTGAAAACGTGCACAATTACTTGACGCTTTGAGTTGCGTCCGAGATATGTCGCAAACATGCGCTTTGTAACGCGATGGGAACAGTCGCATATATCGCATATATGCGTGTGCGACGCATATTGAAACACCAGGTGGAGAGATATCGCCACTCATCACGTAAGTAGAGATAACTGGAGCGCGATAATAAATAATATACGTTTGACCGCGATATAAACGCCATACATATTCGTGATTGCTCGTATTGATTAATTCGTTAATATTATTCAATGATTAAAATCGGAACGATAGAATCAACGGACTCTTTATAAATTCTGTGCAAACAAGTTTGCCATAGTCAAGGATGAAAAAAAAAACATGAGCTGTACTTTATCAGTTTTTGAATTCATCTTGAGATGCCTGACGGAGAAGTGTCATTATTACAGAATGTTTAAATCAACGGTTTATAACAATATTGGAATTATACTAAAAATATAAATTTGCTCAGGAAAAACCCGGGGAAATCTTCGTATTACAATGCTGGGTAAATATTTCCCTGGTTTAACCGCAGCGCAGAGGACGATGTCCTTCGGCGGCACATGTTCGGGGAATCGATTCCTCGTTTACACAGCTGCGGAAGTGACTCAAACGAACAGCGTGTGCTCAGGAAAATTATCCAAAGCAGCGGCGGACATTAGAGTCGTGCTATACACCATTCTCGACCTAATTCTCGATGCGCTGCACATCCGCAGCCCTTAAATTGTAACTGTAGGTACATATAGTGCGGAGTGGCGCATTCCGATTTTGATATGAGATAACGAACGGTCGGTCAGAAACAGGTAAGTCTAGAAAATTCTACGTGTTCGTCATTGAAGCGTGTTTCCTACGAATTATAAATTTTTCGACCAATTTTGGGTCAATTTCTTTTTTATAGAAACATAAAAGCAGCCCATTGAATTATGAACAAATAAAAAATATTGTACAGGACATTGTAAAGATTTTATAGTTTCAAAATCGGTTTAAGAATGTATATACATATATATTATACACATTGTTTATCAAAATGAAAGATTTATGATTTCGAACCAAAATGATCAAATCAATAAGTAGACATGTTTGAAAAAAAAATAATTCAGATTAAATAGAAAAAGTTTCATTTAAACTTTAAAATATATAAATATTAACTTTGTTAAACTCTCTGTTTTATATGTATATATTTATTTTTACATGGAAAACGTATAAATTTCCAATTCTATTTACTTTGGGTAGAAACTATGTACCTAATGTGGTCACTTTGAAAAACATAATTGTGTTAAAAAATGAAGATACGCGAGAATTTCTAATCAATCGTGCTTTCTGTTAACGAAAGATACTTTGCAAATAGCCAGAAAGAAGAAAATAAATAGAATAGAAAACAGACAAATATAAACTTTCACATACTACTTAAATGCATTCAGCTGTATGTTGCTATTTCCATTGTTCGAGTTTCTCTATATAACGAGTATAATGAAGCGTCTACATCTGTAATAATCGTTTTTACCAACATCGATTAGTTTAAAACTGTCTTTATTCCTCTTTAATTTTATTCCACTCATATATTCAAGCTCTTCAAATTTTCAAATACCAAGTTGACACTATTATAGGGGAAGGGAGGGTAAAGCGGAAAATATATGGCAGCACATTTGATTAAATACCTATTCCAATATCTGAACGTGCCGCGGTCGGGACCTTAAGTATGTTACGAATCGCTATCTTATCTCGTAAGATAACGATTTGTAAGGTCCCTCGGATATTTGATAGATACATGATATTTTCTGCTTTGCCCTCGCTTTCCATTTTGCCCTCCCTATACGATGTATTTAATTCTACATATTACTCGTATTATTTTATTAACATAATTATCGCGCAAGGTATTTCTGTGATGTCTCAATATTGTATTTCAATTTTCATTATTGATGATTTACAATTAACTCCCTGGATAAACGCGAATTTTTTAATAAAAAAACTTAAAGAAGTTCTAATTTTCGAAGTTTTTGGGGTCACTGAATTCGATAATATATAATATCTTCACAAAATCTAAAATTTAAATTAAAAAACAAAATAATCTGATTATCGTGAAATTTGATTTTAAGAATTTCTCTCTTGATACTACTAAATTTAAATGTTGATGAAAATGTCGAATTTCAAAAGAGTAGTACCCTCCAATGAAGGAGGATCTAGTGTCACACAGGGCTCATAATTACAGTTTAAAAGTCAGTTTGAAATCTCCTACTGTTTGCGTAGCGCTGATGAGCTTCAAATAAACTGGAAACTTGTGTAATGTTGCTATGCAATTAAAAATTCTCTAAAATCAAATTTTATGATAATCCGAATTTTTTGAAATGCTATCTATATGTTGGATTCATCATTTTGAATTTTTTATTTTGTATCTTAGATTAAAATAAAGCATTATCAAATTACCTCGTCGTCCTAGTTCCATAAAAATTAAGCGAGTAGTTCACAAAATAGAAAGAAATACTTAAACATCTACAAAAAATTAAATAAATATTGATAATATTCTATACATATCTCTTTCAGATAAAGGTAAATATACAAACATTTTTTAAATGTGAAATAATTTACGCTAAATATAATAATGTATATAAACTGCATTCCTATATTTATAATATATGAAATAATTATGAATTTATAAGCTGGGGGTTATCATTGGGTACCCCATGCGAATAATGAAGGATTAACGATACTTACTAAAGCTTCAACGTTGTTCGTGTTAAAAATGAGATATGCGAGCAAATGAAACAATATCTTTAATTAACAACCCATTGTTACAAAATTAACAGATTTCAGAACAAATATTGGCTTACTTTAATTATCGCGGCCGATCCGTACAGTATGTGTTACATTCGACAAGGGATGCCAATATTTCGCGGCGATAAACTGATAAACTCATGTCATTCCGCACAGTTCACGGAACCCACGATGGTAGCGCGCAAATAATTGCGTTATCTATTCTACTGCGCGTAATGCGCAATGAATGCCAGTGTATATCCACAACATTAACAAAATTGCTCTCACGTCCGTTCGTCGATCCATTTGAATCGCGACAGTGTGAAAATTTAACGCCTTCAACGTCCGTTCTGTAATGGATTTTCCACTTTTCGCTCATTAAAATTAGATATTTAAAAGCGAAACTCGAGCTGACGGTATATATATCAACTTAAGCATATCAATATCACTTGCATTATTGGACAGTGTCAACCTCTTGCGATTATTCACTTGGAGATTCTATGTTCAATTCGTCGTATTTTAACTACGTTTTTCATCATCTGTTTACGAATGATAGATAAAATAATAATGACTGTTACCTCTTGAACCTTCCGATGGACGACAATTTTGTGCCACTGACGATCGTCGAATCTCAACTTGACCGGCTTGATGTGCAGATCCAATCTTCCTTTGGCTAGGCTCATACTGACTGCGGCGCCTCCGTCTCTCAACGATATAGTAAGATAATCATCGCCCTCTCCTGTAATTAAAAACGAGAGTAATGAAGTCGTGGCGAGTGTCGTGAGCGCGAGCGCTTGGTATACATTTGCACGGCAAATAAATCCTTATCCCGTCTTTGCAAATAATACCGCTGAATTAATTGTGACATTGGCTGACGCGAGATTGTCGAAAACGGAAAATGCTCGCAACCATCACGAACGTTTTTTAGTTGCTGTCTGTATTGACGTGACCGGGAACATTACCGTCCATTGAACGCAATCCCTTTTGACGCGTTAACGTCGCACGCATCGCCTGAAAAAAAAGATCGACAGCAACGTACGCAAATTTCGACGCAACTTTTTAATCCCCGCGGCGACATCGGTCCATCAGGTTCCCTGGCTCATTCCATTTTTCGTCGAGCTCGCCCGCCGGATTATAGCACGATGCGACGCGTATAAATCGATTACGACCGCTTAACCATTAGTTTCGTGCTACTTCCGGGCGACCAGTTAAAACGTCCGGTGATCGTCGTTAATAATTATCCTATGTTAAATTCGCCGGGAAATCCCCGTGGATTACGTTATACTTGTAACGAGTTGGAGGATCAAAATGATTTTGCTGATGGAACTACGATTTTTGTGATTAAAAGTTAGACGCGATTAGTATTCTTGTACAGATACTTTTTATACCAGGTACGACTTAAAATATGCTTACAAGGAAACTTAAGTATATTACCCTCTGATTTTTACGAGCTTTTAATATGTTATTTTGTAAATGAGAATAAGAAATACATATACTTTATGTACGTCCTATTGCACTTTTAAGGAGTGAAACACTTCTTACTGTTAGAAGAAAATTCGTTTTTTTCTTTCAGAATATCGTTGAAATTACAAGAAAATATTTTAAAAGTTGAAAGGTTTCAAAATTTTTTAAAAATAATTTAAAAATTTTGTATAAATACGAAATTTTTTATTTATAAAAAGTTTTTAAGCTCTTAGAAATATTCAATTTTTCAAGCTCATCAAAATCGGAGAAAATAAAGATATGATTACAGATACGGAGGATTATACTATTAAAATGTATATCTACCTGTAATTAAACGCAGTGAAAATGATTGTTTTTTTTTTAAAAGAAAATCGAAATTAAAAAGAGCGAAAATTGATTTTTTTTTATCAAAAATGAAAAAGTTGTCAAATAAATAGTTTGTGAAAATCCCTGTTATTAAACAGTCACTTAATAAACTTCTATGAATATAGTGTTTTACTTTTTCCAATTTGTTGCATTTAATTAAATTAACAGAATTTGCAGAGAAAAGGTTCAATAAGTTTCCGAGTATTTTTTTTTAATTTACGATTATTTTTCTCGATGCGTGTAATAAGAACATAAATACGTATGTAAGAGGAGTTAATACGCTACAGAACAGAAATTATAATTTACGTCAGTAGATTTTACAAGTAGATTAAGGCCCAACGGGAGGGACGCAAACGGATATGGCGTTACACTCGTGAATCTCGCAAACGCCACCGTTGGTTATTGCCGCAGTCGCTTTAAAATCGGGCCGCGACCGCATACTAATTATCTCACGGGCAGTCCGGGGACTCGAGCGTATAAAAGATGCAGACAGTACTTCGGGCTTAATTGCTGCCGGCGCGACGCATTAGTATGCGCCTAAGTGCATTACGCGCGTTACGTATCGCGCTTTTATTCGCGTAATACCACCATCGCTGGCGCGATGCACATCGCGGATCGCTATCGGACAACAAACATGATAACACACGTTACGCGCTGCAAAGATAGTGCCCTGCGAGGTGGATTGTACACAGCGAGAAATTAGCGAGAATTTCTACGCGCTTCCGTTATGGTTACACCCCTGCATTAAAAAAAAAAAAACATTCGAAATTTTAATAGATCATTTGTTTGAATAATACCAATAATAAATAGTTATTATACATGATGATATATTGATTTGGTACGAGAATCATTATTTTGATTTAACGTACATTCTTTTTATCGATTAAATAATCATTTAATGTAAGAAAATGTTTGGTTGGCACTCTATTCAAATAAATATTATATTTATTAAAATTTAGTATATTTTTTTTCGTATGGTCGAAATTTCTATGAATGATCCATTTCTTCCAACTCCGCTCATACGCCATTGAATATTTAATTATTAAAAAGCAAACGAATTTTTTAGAATCAAAAATAACAGTCGTTGATCGCCAGTACATTCACAAACACATGCACGAGCAAATTGTTATTTATTGTTCGCTCGTTATTGGAATGTACTTTACCTAATTATCCCCTGGACGCGAATTATCCGCCCAAATCCCGTTACATTCGAGAAATATCTTTGTGTAATTGTGTTACAGATAGTTACTCGAAAACAAACGAAACCATTTCCGATGTGAATTTAACACACCGCGACTCGGCACGTGAACAAACCAAGTATAGAAGTCGACAGCGCGAGTAGTAAAAGACGAAAATGGTCAGACACGTTCCGGCGAAATTCTCAAAGGAGATTGTTACGTTTACCGCTCTCGCTCTCTCTCTCTCTCTCTCTCTCTCTCTCTCTTTTCGCGAGGGAATTCCCGCGATAAGATACCGCGATTTGAAAGAATAGAAGTTGCGTGGCGTGACGATTATTATGCCCCCCGGAAATACGTGCAATTCAAATGCGCGGCGAGTGCGCGGTTGTATTATAGCTTATCTCAGGAACAAATGAGCAGCCTGGTGTGAGCGCGCTGCGGAGATGCGAGAGGAAGAAACGATTGCTACGTATGCATCTTGTGTGTCGTACGTGTAGTGGATGTATGCGAATGCGGATGTGTGAGAGAGCGGTAAGTGTATGTGGTACGGCATTGCGGCTCCGGTATATAGGTTTCGAGTTGCTGTAACCGGAGCGGAGGTGCAAACTCCTCCTTTTACTGCGGATGGTGCAGTCTTGCCATCTTGGGGCTGCGCTGATTCTACCGTTCATTACGTAAGTATACTATAAACTGGAGGTTCACGTGCATCCGGGGGGAAGCCATAATATGCCAGATGAAACGATGGGGTATGATATAAAGGCACAGTAAATTAGAAATCTGACCAAAATGCAAGCGAGTAAGAAACAAACTTTTTCTTTATCTCACAACTTGAGCTACCTTTTCTCCGAACCTCTGATTATTTATTCAGACAACTTGATTAAATTTAAGTTGTATGTATTTTTACAACTTTGTATTTTAAATTCCAAACTAAAATTCTGTTAAAGTTTTAAAATTAATGTTGGAGAACACACATACACACACATCGTGATTTATTTTACTAATCTAAAACTTTTACTTTGCAAACATCTCTCCAAACTTAAACACTTGAAATTATTAGTAAGATCGAATTATTGATGTTTTAAAAACAATTATAACTGACTAAAATTATAGAACAGAGTCTAAATAGTTTTATTATAAATGTTGAAACTAAACATAAAATTAGAAATTTTATTATACTGATATTATATAAAGTAGATTTGTAGGTTACAGATATGCAAATAAAGTAATTTGATGATATTCTCGAATAATAATATATACATACTGCGTTCACTAATCTACGAAAATTCTAAACAAAATGATTTTGAAGTCAAAGTTCATATAGATCGTATAAGATTTAATGTGATACCGTCTTAAAGTAAAAGAAAGAAAGAAAAGATAATAAAAGAACGATGTTAAATAGAAAGAGAAAGGAAAAAAGAAAGACAAAATATCTTTAGTTGGCTGTACGTCCGAACCACTAAAACATTCTAATTGGCTATAATGTCGCCACGAGAAAAGGAGAGCAATCTAAAGATTTAATATGCAACCATTGTCCAAGATGGTTCTATTGTCTATCTGCATTCTCTCAAAGGATATCCGGTCATTCGTAAGTTACTCGATTAAATGTCACTCCATTATTGATCTTCCCAAATTGTTTTCAATTAATTGCACGCCTTAATGATTATTAATTGTATCCAGAAAATTTATAATACAACAATTTTATATACTTTAAAATCGATACTTTCAATCATTAGTTTTACACTTTTGATTTTGTAACCCGTATAATTATCCATCAGTTATACGAACTGCGAACATTTTCAATTATTAAAAATCTATTTTCTTAATTGCCCGCAAACACATTCGAAAGTGGAACAATTCGCAAGTGGAAATAAAATCGCCACTTAAAGGGAAGTTATTATAATTGACAAAGAAAGTCGTTCGCCATGAACACAGGAAGTACTTACCGGAATAAAATAGAAGTCCATTTGCTGCTCTCGTTTTGAACTGAAGGCTTATGGATTCTTGTGTACTGAGTACTGGTTCCGCTTTGCTCAAATCTATCGTGAGATACTCAGTCCCTCTGAAGGATGCTTCCGAGGGAGCTTTGTCTGGAACAAAAAAGCCAGTAGTTTATAAATCGGCCAATCCACTACAATAGTTTTCGTTAGAGACTCGCTTAGCAAATTATCGGTATAAGTTAAAAAAAATGAAAAGCTTCTTTCTCATTTATTGGAATCCCTTCTCCAATTTTCTCTTTCGAACGAAAAAAGTAAATTATTAACTATTTATACAATATATGCGATTAATATTTTCAATTTTGATGAAAATAATACAAAAAATGTAAACACACATAATCAACTATTAGACAAATATTAGTTTAACGACTAGTTTATTAACCGCGAAAACAAATATGATTATTATTTAATTACATTTGTACTTTTAAAGCTATTTCTTTCAACAAATAGACCAAAGGAATAACATTTTTGTATCTTTCTGAGATTGTGGTAAATGATGAGATTTCTCAGTCTTCTCTCGTAAGTTTGCGAATCACAGTAATAAGCGCCAAGAATCCCAACCCATCATCTTGGAAGCGACGCGGCCTCTCGAGAAAAATCGACGCCGACGGATTTATCGTGGCAATTCGTTTCTACCGCAGTTGAGCGAGCTGAAAGAGATACGAAGTGGTGGATATATAGTACAGGCAGCTCTTCCTTACGCGGATTCGCCGGATGATTTGCGGCGGTAATGAACATTTCAATCGGTGCATTCGACCCCGCGGCGCGATTTGGCGACGTGCCAGTGCCATTAAACCCATCTTACGGTCTTTTTGCGCGACCGCGCTTACCTTTGTTTCGTCGCGATAACAATGAAAGATGGAAAATAACGGGAAACGCGTCCGCGACCGCTCTCTCTCTCTCTCTCTCTCTCTCTCTCTCTCTCACGGGCGGAATCTCAAAATCCGATTAAATGTTCCCGCCGAATCGAATAAAGAGCATCGGGATTTGTTTGTAGGACTGTGAATGATAAGAGAATCCGAAACAAGCCGATCTTGACACTTAACAAAAGAGGAGGCTGAAAGAAGGTAGAATTTAAATGCGCGTAAAGTGAAAAAAAAACATATTCATTCAATTTCTAGCCATTTACGGACCTTCTCCAATTTATTTAATACCATTATAATATACTACAAGAATAACATGTTAAGTAAACAGTACGGTAAGCGAAGAAGGCCATATTCGGTTAAAGTGGGTTATTTTTGTGTAAATTTTTAGTTTTATATTAAAATTGTTTTATATATTTTATTAATATAAACGAACTATTTACTGATATTGTATTTTATAATATTATTGTTTTTTCGATAATATACGCATTTAATAGAAATTTATCAAAAAGTCCGTTATATGATTATGTTTGATCGAAGAGAAAACACAATAGCGCCGCGTGTTTCTTTCGGATTGTCCTATAGGGATACAACGGGTGCTGAAGCAGCCGTTGAGCTTACTTGGTCATTGTCTTCTGCGGGCGTACAGCGGTAGTTTAGCGGCAAGATTTATGGTAAGGGAGGAACGCGAGCGATTGATCGCGAGAGTGCGCCAGGTGCAGAATTACGCGGCACCCATTGCTGACTTCCTAATGAATGGCTGGCGATTAATACGGATTAGTAGAGGCGCGTGTATCGGCTACGCTAAGGCGCACTTAGCCACGATTTATGCGCGACTTTGTCAACGTATTCTTCGATGCGCGACAAAAGACGTGGAACAAGAAAGTGTTAGTAGAGGAATAAGAGGTCGGGAAACTTTTCGATTAGCAGAATAATATTTTAAGTATGTGAAATATCAGCTTTATACAATACAATACAAGAATTAAAGTTCTATATAATTCCTCATAAATTCAAAATCAATTTTCAGTCAACACAAATTAAAAGTAACATAACATCGACGTTATATTTTGCACTCAACAATATATAAATGTAATAGAACACATGTTACATAACAATTACATTGTTGAATGTGTAACTGTAACATTAATGTTACATTATTTTTAGTAGATATCGATTGAGTTTTTTTTCTTGACCAAAGTCTATAAATATCAATGCTTTTATCGTTATAAAAACGTCGAAAAATAAAGATATTTTTTACAAGGTCATTTAAAAAATTTTCTAGTTCGATGTTCTCGAAAGCAGAGAATGTGTGCCAAGCGCAAAGTAGCACAGCCCGTGAAAGATAATTACCATAAAACGTATAGCATCCCGCGTGCGCATATTATCCTGCTTAGATAATTACGCGATATCCAGCAGATTGGTGTTGCCGGGGTTGGTTTTGCTCCATTGGGAATCATTTGGCACTCCGTGGCGTCTCAACTAAATCGATCGGTCGATTTCGCAGTATTCGCACATATAACGCGAACACCGGATAATTAACATCAGCCGCGCGTAATTACTTTGCGAGTTAAGCATCCGCCGGATCTTTCCAAGAATTAAATTTCCCGAGGTGAAACAAGGAGTACGAGGCAATTCGACATAGAATAGAAAATTATTCTAACCGTATATATGGTATGTGACTTGCTACTTTTTATCAATAAAAATACAAGGAAATTTTGTATATTACTGTTATCTGATCATATCAAATCTAATCTGGTAACTCAAAGAGGCCAATCTGTATGAATGATATCCATACAGCACAGAACTTTTCAACAACACTACGATGTTCCAGCAATCTTACGGTATAAGCAAGCATGATGCTGCAAGCTTCTGTGCTGTATGTGCGCGGGGATCGGTTTATTACATCATAAAATTAAATCTACAAGTTATTTACTAGATTTGTTTTCTCTCGTTCATCAAGTATTAAATCACATTTAATATCGGGAAAAGAGAAAGAAAGATGGAGATTTTTTTTCCAATCAATAAAAATCTGTCTTGAAAATGAAAAAAATAAACAGAACGAGAAAAGTAGAAGGGAAAATATATTTCTAATGTCTAATGGCTTACGTCGTTGGTAGAAATATCAATATCTGAAGAGAGAAAGAATATCTCTTCTTTTGCTCTTCTTTACTCGATAACATTGACGAAGAAAAATAACCGGGAAAATACCGATATCAGGCAATGTGCGTTACAAGCGGTGTTACGTAATGATCGCAACGTTGTTATTTGTTAGACGTCTATAATTATATTTACAAATATTACAAAATTTTTATACTCTTACTTTTAATTTTATAGGTATATTAAAGCAATAATTGGCCAATAATCTCTATTTAAGAAGAGAGTATGAATTATTTAGAAATAACTCTTTTTCACATGTGTGTAATTCTTGCATGTGTGCTTAATGACATCAATTATTTATAATGCTATCCTTTTGTTTTCATTAGTTATAATTTATCAATTATATTTATAATTAAATTATTTTATTTATAATTTAGTTTTTCTCATAATTTTATTATCGCTTAATAGTTGCACTCAACTTAAAATTAAAAGAATTAAAAATTTTTTATTTTTATTAAGTATATTAAATAATTGGGGGGGAACACAACTTACGTAGTATATAAAATTCACTCTTTAACATATCTTATATATGATCGCACTAATAACAGCGAATAGCTCTCATTAGCCTTTATATTCTTGTTATTTGAAACTTTCGAGAGTCTTCTTTAATTGATTTGTTGTATATTAAATAATATTTGACAGTGCGTCGGAAGGTTACAATCTTTATCAAAATACAAAAGGCGAACATTATATTAATTAAATGTAACATTTGACCAGCGTCTATAAGGGAAACCGTCTGTTTTTCTTGAGCAGCAGTAAAGCTCATTTGTTTAGCTTGAATTTCAGGAAACTTGCTGGTCGGAGTAAAATAAACCGTATCGAAGCTTAAGCTCAAGGTAGTAGATGCGGAAGTATATGCAGGTTTAATAAATCTTAACGGCTCACGCGGATAAAAGCGTGCTAAGGACGTCGTCCGATTTATTTAGTTCCTGCACTTTCGAATCTTTCTACGTCGGTATTCTCTCTGCATTTAAAGGATTGCCAAGTTAATCCTTGCAAACAGTTTGTTGCACGAGAAACGCCTTCAGCGAAAGTAATTTGCAATCCTTCGCCACAACGTAAATGCATATTAAAATATAAAATATTTAATGAACAAAGAGAGAGAGAGAGAGAGAGAGAGGGAGAGGGAAGATAGGAAGGAAGAGCAATTTCACGTAAATATATAATAAGATTAAAGAAGTTAACTGTCAATAATTTTATCAAAACGTTGTTGAAACTATTATATAATGATAAACTTTGGAATATATGTATAATTTCTTTATGTAGAACCATACAAATTTATCAAGATTGACGAAATATTAAGTCAATATTATTTTTAATGGCACATTTCACACATTAATTTAATGTTTTTGTTGAACATACAAATTAAAATGCAATTTAATCTCGTTAAAAAATTATAAATTTGATAAAGATTCTTTACATAATGTAAACACAGTATATATCGTAATCAGTGTAAAAATAAGAATAAATTAATTTACGTATTTATGATGTTATTTATTATAAATTTTATTCTTTATACATTTTTTACTCAATTTTATATTTTGTAATGTTCTTTTTTTTTCAGAACTTGCATTAATAAACACACTTGTTTACTGGCAGTTTAATTATAGTCAGAGAACGGTTCGCTTTCGCTCTTACAACTCACATAGAAATTTAACTCGCATCGTAAACATAACCGTAGAACTCGGCTTTCTGTGTTTCTGACTGCAGGGAATATTGTAACCCACGGAAATCCCCTAAAACAATAAAGCCTTTTACTATCGCCATTGAAAACAAAGTTTCTCGGTATTAAAGCCGAAACCAGGAAAAGTATCTGCCTTTTCTACCTTTTTGAATACTGCGAGTGCAACATGTTGAGAAAATTGGACGACACTTTGATAGCTACGAATATAACGCGAGATCAACAATCATTTATTTTTATGGTATTTGCAAGTCGAGATGTTTTGGATGTACGTAATATCGTAAATTGTGCCGTGTACCAACATAAAACTAACATTTACAGAGTTTTTCATCACTTTTCCATCTCTCTTTCCGGCAAAAGTACATTAGTACTATCTACAATGCAAAACACTT